GCAGCACCATTGATCTGTAACTGTAATGGAAAATTTAAGAGAATTTCCAACCCTAATATACAAAATGGCAAAAGGTTGTGGTGCTATTAATGATTAGGGGTCATCTCACTTCTTGACTCTTTTGTGAAGAGCAGCATTCATTTTAAACAAGTTTTCCCCATGACCTAATAAAGCACATGTTCTAATCGTCTTGATCCATTACTATAAATAGACTGAAACTGTGGATTTATAATTTTCCAGCTAAAGAGACAGTATTTAGACACAGTATTAAAGAATTCAGTACTACTGAGGGAACAAATTAAAAGTGCAGGCCTTGATTTTACTGTATAAATTAAGTTGGCAAGGCAGGAAATTTGCATCACTGCAAGTGTTCAAGGGCAGCAGTGATAGTTGTAACTAAAATTAAGAGCTGATGGTGGGCTTGTTTTTTCAGGTTTTTTGGTAAACATGAAATATCAGTTTCTGCAACATATAGAAAAAGCACTAATGCTTTGTAGTGGATTGTATAGTGACATCTGGCACAGATTTTCTTACTGCAATAATCGCTACTGCCAACAGCAGATTTCACAGGAAGTAATGATGCCTGTTGTTATAGGTAGAAAAATAATGCCTTTTTTGCTATATTTGACTGGATAATTACAAGAGGTATCATAGTTATTAAATGTAACTTATCTTCCTAATGAATTTAACTTTAGAAGTGGGTTTCCTGGCTCTCTCATCTTGGTACAGAAGAATATTCCTCCATTCTTTCACTGTGGTCTCATCTTTTGACTTCTAATTCAAGGAGCTCAGGGGCATGGACCATCTGGGCACTGTGGTGCTACATTCTGCTGAAGCTGCTTCTGTTTTGCCTGTGGTAGAGATCTTAGTGGTGGACTTCACAGTTCTACAGTAATATAGATCCACTGGTTAGCTCTCACCATACCATGCACAGGGGACAAGTTCATGAGAGGCTCGGGCAGTTGAGCAGCTTTCACTGTCACACTAACTTATGAAGGATTCTTTCTGCCTCCACCTTATGTGGATCCGTTACCTTTGTGGTATGTAAGGATGAACGTTGGCCCTTAGGACAGGAACTGTTAACACAGGTGTTTTTCAGGAAGTTACTTTGGGGTGAAAGCCCCATTACCTGAAGGCTAGACTTTAGCTAGGTAGGCTAAGTAAATTACAGTTCATTGAGGATTAAGCCATCAAAAAATAAAAAACCCAGAAAAAAAACACCCTTTACTTTATTGATGCTCCTTCCATTACAAAGTAAGCATCCACAGCACATTTATTTAATGTTTAAATTACTTCATATTTTTACATAACCTTAAAAGAAAATATATTTATCCCACATACAGTAATAGCAAACAAGTGCATTATTTCAAACATTAAAAATAATCTTTAAACAAATCTGTACAACAGATAAATAAAATATCTACAATACTTAGTTTGCGAAAAACAAGTCAAAACAATTCCTCCAAACTCACCCCCTTTCCTCCTAATGAAGGCTGCATGCAACCTCTTCATTAAAACCCTGAACCAGCTCAACAGTGCTCAGCTATAACTTTTTTCTGTAAATCAAATGTCTCAATCAGTGACTAATGAGTTTTCAAAACACTGGAAACAACATACACAAAGATCAAGTAACTGAGAAAGCATTGAGTATATTCTCTCCAGCTTGTCAGACTAGGCAACAGACCCAACAAGGTTGCTAAATAATGCAGTAAGAATACACTATTGAACATTAGCTTTTTTTTTTTAAATCTCACCACTGGGTCCATCATTCTTATAGAATTATTTTCTTTACTGAAACAATTTTGCAGCTATTCTTTCACTGCTAGAAAGTTCTGCAGACACAGATAACTTAGCAAGTTCACACTTCACAATTCAGCTGAGACAGTATCAGAAAATACATCTCAGAATACTTAATGTATAACTTAAAAATCATTATATAGCATTGTACATGGCATAGAAAACAATACTGTATTCATTCAATTCAAGTGCTAAACAGTATTCAGCAGCAGAATGAAGCCAACAAGTGACAAATCTCAAAGCATTATTGAAACCGACCTCCCCAAAATATCTGGACCAATATTATATATATACACACCAATATTAAATATCTGAACCAGTATTATATATAGTTCAATAGATGAAAGTGTAATCAAGTTCCACTGATTCTACAGAATGTAAATTACAAACCTGCCATTTCTAATTTGAAGTGCTGTTCCTTTCAGTTTTACTTTATTAGGAGATCCATAATAAAAAGAGAATAAAATGAAGCATTAGATTTTCTGACCTTGAATCACAAAGGAGGAATGAGACTGCTAAATATAGATAGAAAAGCCAGTGCCCTCAAAACGCCCGCAGTCTTATCTCTCTCCTAATTTAAAGAGGTACCCAGTGCTCCTAGACACTCGCTCAGCCCCTCTTCTTCATGCTATTCATCAGGTCGGTTCTTCATTTTTTCACTGAAAACATTACTGCAGAATCTAATACAGTTCCAGTTCCAAAGTGAAATTTTATTCAAGTTATTTGCAATGCAGGGGTTCTGAGACTATTGTGCCTCTAATTTCCCCTTCTTCATAAAACTTGAAGTAATAGGTATGGTTGGGTTAGATGTGATAAGAAAAGGATGGGAATTTTAATATTTGGCTGAATCTGAAGCTTGCTCATCTGTTTTTCACTAGGACTGTATTAATATTGTGGAATCAGTTTTTTTAACTGATGAAAACACAAACATACTTTTAGAAAGTAAAAATAAAATTACTTAAGCATTCTTAATGATCTAGTTACTAGAGCTACAGAATATTTGCTGAAAATTGTCTTCAGTAAAAACATGATGTTTGCTGCAAATCTGGGTATAATTCTAAGTGGAATCACTTTAAGCTGCTGACTTTTTTTGTTGATTGGATAAAGGGTTTCATATCACGCTTGCTACATCCAAAATATTCATCTCTAAATGATGAGTTAACACTTGGTTCCTGGGATGACCAGGAAGGTAACTTCATATTCCAAATTCAGCTATAAAACAGTCATTTACTAGGAAGTCATATATCAAGTCCACTTTGCTGTTAACAAAACAGTTCCCAATGAGTACACTTAAAGCACATCTTATGTCTTAGCTGTAGTACATTAGTAAATATCCACCATTTAGCTGTCTGAAGAAAAGTTAATTCAACGATCTCTAATTGATGTTGCCAAGCCACCTGTTTAACTTCTTCATGTTATGTTAAAATAGATATGTAAACAGAAATATACATCCAGTAGAAAAAAATTTTCACATGCAATTTTGCACAGTGCATTCGTTTGTCAGGTTCCTTGAAGAGATTTCCACACAACATATGTACATTTCCACTATATACATATGTTCAATATACTTCATTTAAATGTCTTCCTTGTGCTGCTCAGCAACATACAAGTGGTTTTGTTGTACATCCAGTTGGCTATTTTTGTTCAGGCAGACACAAAGTAAGCCTGAAATAAGTTTCAAAGCATCTCTTGAAGTTAATGCCTTGATTGATCTTGAACTGCTGACAGGAAGAGGAGTCCAGAAAAAAATCCAGCTATGCACAGCAACCTTTTCAACAGAGTTGCATTATCTTTAGGAATGACAATCTGTGCTAGATCATTGGTGATCTGAGAAATTTCGTGTGCCACACACACAAATATAAAAGTGCTGACAATGATGTTGAGCATAGGATATCCAGGAATGAGCACCAAGATTCCTTTTGTATCTGCTGCTAGCCAGATGTGATATTGGCAGATGAATAACTAGAATGCAGAGATATTCAGTTAACATTTCCATTAAAAAAATCAAGACTATATTATTAGATGATATATAAGTATCTATAAAGTTAAACACTGCAATGGATATTGAAGGTAAGGAAAGTCTAGCAGAGTGGTTCTCAATCTCATAGACTCAAGACACCCCCTGGAAAATGCCAGCTCTCAGCTTTCACACTTTTTTGACTAAAGAAAGATTATAGAGCAATTCTTGCACTGCTAAGAACTGAAGACCGTGGTGCGCCAGAATGGTTTTGACACTACAGGGATTCCTGTTTGAAATCTCTTGATTATTGTGTGAATTGTGTAGGTGCTTGCACACCCAACAGTGTTAATAAAAAGTAGCACCCTGGTTGCAAACCACTGCTTTAACAGAACATAATGCAATCATGTAAAAATTATACAATCATGTACAATATAGTGCACTGCGTGAAAGACTTGTTCTGATGCAGGACTATTCAATCAAAAAGTTCTTTCCCTTCTTGAAATATAATAAAAATGCACTTAAGCGAAAACACAGAAGGAGGGAAGGAAGGAAACATATTATTTTATGCAATATAAAACAGCTACTAAAAAACAGGAAGCAAATTAAATCTTACAGTTTTAAAATACAAAAAAACCCAGCACAGAGCAGAAAATATTCAAATTCTGTTTGTGCCAAAAGATGGATTTGCTGATTTAGACATATCCATATATGCAGCTCGTAAAACCCTTTGAGTGGATACATTTGTATGACTATGTCTCTACTAATCAATATAACTCATGAACTGGCATACACTCTCAGGCTAACTGCACCCATGCTAGAATTTACAGGTTTCTATATACGTGCAGGGAGCCTACTCCGACACACTGTAATTCCAGCCTGTTGGAGCAAACTGGATTAATTGAGTCTGCTAGACTCCAGCATTACGTGCATCTGTGTTCCTGTACTGAAAAATAGCAGCGAGACACTTTGAACTAAAGCTCATTGAACTAACTTTAGTTTAAAGCACCCCACTGCCATTTCTCAGCGCAGGGACACTGATACATGTGATGCTACGGGCACTTTTAATTAGTGTGGCTCTCGGAGCTGCGCTAATTAAAGCGCTCCCCCACATCTCTTGGAGCATGTGTATAAATTCCCTATAATACTAGCATCACTACCTTGATTTAAAAAACCCATAAATCACAGAAATATGCTTCCTTACACAGTATTAACTTTTAAGCATTATTTAGGCCTGAAAGGCAAAAGAATATCAGCAGTCACTCGATATCAAAGCAAATGCCCCCAAATACTTTTCTACCATTTTTGATTTATATTAAAATAAACTTCAGAAACCCACTATTTCAAAGCGCTCAACTGCATCATCACTGTATCAATAATCACTTTACGCACCTCTAAAGATATTTTACCAAACCAGGCAAAGAATGAGCTATATACAGAACGGATATATCCAGGAATGTTCCTGATGAGGATGAAAGCTAAAATCTGAAAAAAGGACAAGGTACCACAGAAACAGTTTAGACATTCACCAGGAAAACGATACATTTATTAGACACTGTAAAAATACTTGAATAAGATGCGCAATAATCTAGGCCTCAATCTGCAAACCTTTCTTTACACATGTAATAAATTCAACTCTTCCAGCCCTAAGCTTCTGTGAATTTGTGATCCCTCAGTGTTTAAGGGGCCAGGTCCATATTATGTATTCACTCAAATATAAGATGACCCTGATAATAAACTGACACCCCAATACACAGATTATATGTATGGAAAATTTATAAATTTGACATAATTTTCCAGGTACAGAATCTAATAGTTAGAGGTTTGCCTTGAATTTGTCCCCCTCCTATTGATGCAGCAGGGAAAATATATTTGGGGGAGGGGGGAAGGAGGTCTATTACCACCCTGCCCTCTCCCTCCACAACTTTCCCCCCCCTGCAGCCCCTTCTACCCCTCTTTACTGCCAGACCCTGCTTTCCCTGAACACATGGACATAAAGAGCACATTTGAAAAAAATGATCCTTAAATTTGCATACAGTACCCATAGACTTAAGTTCATCCAGAATTGATGCATTCTACCTTTTCTGAAACTGCTGCAAATTTTAGCACAGGTACTCCATAAACAGTTTTAAGTACCAGTTTGGCACCTACTTATATATGGTACAAACTAAATAAAACTAATTCAAAACCAAAAGGCTCATGGTTTACTGCATAGTTTATTGGGCTGAGCCCCTGGAAAGTCAGCAGCATTACAAACCATTGTGACCCCACAGCTCAGCACTGCTCAGTATGTGTGTATACTCCAGATACAGCTCCTCCCTTCCCCCAGCAAGGATCTATGTGCTACTTAGCCCCCCACTCATGATTGTAACCAGGTGTTCTTCTCATGAGTCCTAGGATCCTCCAAAAATTTATATGCAGATGAGGCACAGGACAACTTGGTCCAGCTTTACCTGATGGAGGGTGGGGCCATACTAAACACAACAGACTGAGAGGGAGCAACAGAGGGGTGAAAAGTTTGAAGCCCTGTTTGTTGATATTTCCCAGACAGTTAAGACTGGTGAAGAAACAGAAATAATTGGAAATGAGAAAGAAAGTTGGCAGCAAAACTGTGGAAGTGAAGAGGAAGTAAAAATGTATTCAAGTGTAGTGGCTTACCATGACTTGAAATAGAGTAGCTGCTAAGGGGGACTGTGGTCAGTGCACACTACTAGGGATGTGGAAGGTTAAACAATTAATCATTTAACCAATAAGTACAGTGATAACTGGTTAGCTTACCAGTTATCCTTTGGCTCGGGGTGGGCACAGTCTGGCAGGGAAGGGAGAAATGAAGCTGTGCAGTGCACCAGCAGGAATCAGAAGGCAGGTGGGAGGGAGGGTGAAGAGGGGCGGGGGAGGGGGACTAGCAGCCATAACCTAACAGGAAAACAGTAAGCGGCCTAATGACTCATCAGGTAGGCAATTAACTGCTCATACATAGGTGCTCCCTTCCTCCCAGTGCAGGGCTCCACATGGGCTGTTATCTGACTGGGCTTGCCTCTTCTCCCCCTCTCCCCACAGACAAAGGGCTCTGGGAGCCAGGTTAAATGAATAATTTTTTAAACAGTATTTACATCCCTAGACACTACCATATATCTTGTCCAGACAGGCTGTACTGGCCTATCCTTGTGGTAGGCTCCCATCAGCATTTCTGCCTATTGGCTAAGATAATGGGTACCTGTACATGTGGTCTGGGTGCTCGAATTAAAATGCCTGCAGTTTTTTATGTATTTAGTGTGTTTCAAAATGGTAGTAGCAGTGTTAACTAAAGCTCAGTGAATGAGCTCTGTTTAAAGTGCCTCCGCTGCCATTTTGAAACATGGGATGGTGAATAAATGAGGCGCTGTAGCATGCTGGATCATTCTTATTAGAATGCTCTGGCAGACTCAATTAATTGCATCAGAGCATGTGTAAATGTCCCCAAGCATTTTTGGCACTAAAGGAAAGGTGTAAGGGCTGGCTCTGGCCCTCCCAGTGCTGGCCCAATGTCACAGTACCTCCAGGCCCAGCACCAGTTCCCTGTGGAGGGAACACCTGCCCATTTTTTTTTTAAGGACCAAAAAACAAAAGCAAAAATGTTTCCCATCAGCATGTTTGCCTGATATAGGCCACGTACTTATAGTCAAGCTCAGTGTTGGCTACGTTTAATCAACTTCGTAGTTGGTTTCCATTACTAAGCACATACTGCTTTTAGTAGCAGTTCAAAGACTGACAATATATTTAATGCAATTTCCGTGTATGTAAATGTAAGATGAAGGGCTTTTTCCCTCATGCTGATTGGGGGGGTAAAGCCTCATCATGTATTTGAGTAGATATGGTATATACCAGTGTTCAATTAGTATGTGCACCATGTGCATATGTATTTTATTACTCTTTTACATGGTATATTTATATTTATCAGGGCTTGTATTACTATGTACACATACTACAATAGTTATAGCCAGAGCAGCTAAAAAGTGTTAAGGAAACAAGGTAACAAAATCAGTAATGCAGTCTTTCTTCCACTTCATTCCGTAAGTTAAAACAAAAGTTGATCATCTTCAGTTAAGGATTAAGACACACATTATGTTAAAATGTTCTAAGAAGCTAGATTTTGTGAGTAATTACCTGCACCACAGAAACAGAAGGATGCAGTTCATTGCACTCAGTTTTATTTTTACAGCTACTAGCCCAGATAGAGTAGGTCTGAAAGAGATAAATATACATATCAGTCTTCACAAAGCCAGTACTTAAAAACATTACAACAAAATAAACTAATTTTGAAGTGTTACAATTGCAGCAATTGTGTCATGTGGTGATAGGGAGGACAGATGTTTTATTTTTTCTGTTTAGTTTTGTGTTTCTCAAACTGTCTTTGCAGCTGATCAATACAATCATTTGTACTCTAAGACTGCTGACAATCTGTTGATCACACTTAGTCATCAGCTCTTTTCATGTCTATCTATGTCTATATCATCTACGATTTTATTCTAATTAAGATTAGCATCCTTTATAATCAAATCAGAGAACACTTAAACCTACAACAAAGGAAAGAGGCCAGTGAATGTTTGGGGGGTGCATAGATGGAGGGTATCTATAGAACACAGTTGAAACAAACTTCTGCAAACCAGAAACATCCTTTCTGAAGAACAAGTCCACCTACTACTAACCAAGATATTCTCCCAAAAGCTAGCCACCTGGACAAGGACTCTCCACAATTACACAGATGATATAAGAGTGTGGACTTACCAAAAAGGAAACCACTGAAATAAATAATAAAACATTTGAAACTCTGTTGGAGAAGAGAGGCTCGCCTTTCCCCTCTGAAAGCACCTGTCGCTTCTGTAACGCCAGGTAGATAAAAGCAAACAACATGCCATGAAAGACAACCTGCAAAAGAACAGAACAGTTCTTCAGAGGTGGCTGTAAAGCTGCAGGTGCAAATACCCTGTAACAAAGTATAAGGGATTTGTAGCAAAGCCCATGTGAGAAGAGCTCCTGCTCTTGCTACATTATTAAAAACAAAACACTAACACTCACCAGACCTTAAGGAGAATTAAAGTGTGTTCAGTTCAGAAATATTACTCTTAGTAATGGTTCAGTGAATATTTGGATATGACATTCACATTTCAAACACCTTTAGATACCACCGATCAGAATCCCATACACTACTTTGGAAACAGCTTCTGTTACAGAAAACAGGCTTTTATAAGATCTCTCTGAATCTCCAGCAACTCAGCAGCTACAAACTTTTGGAAGAGGCATCATGGGAACTCTCCTTGTACAGAAGTCGGATTTTCCAGTTGGAGAAAAGAATGTTATAATGTTATTCCCTCATTAGCTAACAACAGGCTGTAGAGGTCCTGTTGCTTGTTTTCATTTTTACTTTTTTTTTTTTTTTTTTTTGCTATTTTGGAACTTCCTCTATGTGCTCTCCAGAGCCCACTGTGAGCTTCACAGTTATGAAACATGTGAGATTTGGAGTTTCAAAAGTGCACTAGTGTATTTAAAGGACTTACTAATAAAAAGTTGCAGCAGGGAGAAAGCATATGACTGATTTATCAGAGACCACCCAATAGAGAGAGAAAAGAATCTACAGGCTGTCACAACAAGCAAGGTAATTTCTTGTGAGGTTAATAGACAAATGCTCTGGCCTCACCTCTTCCTCCAAGTACCCAGACAAGGCACTACAGAGAAGAAGGAATACAATTCTTCCTTTCCAACCACCCAAGCCCGTGGGGGAGAAACAATTCCAAAGGGAGCAGGCAAGCCAGTTTACACACAGAATTTTAAACACAGAATGAACAAAGAGATAACAGTAGCATACATGTGCTATGTACAAAGTAAAATACTCTGATTTTAGCCATGCAGCACTCTCATGGACACTCCTTATTTACATTAATCATAGTAATTAACATTTCCTTAGAGTTTCTATTGAGATTTTTTTAAAAAATACCATTTATTTGAGGATGTTTGAAACAATTTTAATTTCCTGAAGAATATCAGTGCTGGAGGGCCAAAGAAGTTAGGAATTTCAGTGCAAAACGAAACCAAATACGCAGAGCCCTGTTTAGGAATGCTCTATAAAAAGGTTAGCATTATCAGCAAGTCAGGGGTCTTTCTTCATAGTGGTCATAGACACTTGCAGAAGCAAAACATTGATGCTGCCTGTTCCTACAACAAACCATAAGCTGGAACTTAATTCCTCCTCTATCCAGAGAAAGAGGGGAAAGTATTTTTCACATCCGTTTTTCAACAATACTTCTCAAAAAACACAAAACTATATTTAATTCATGAAATCATTACATACATAGCGGTCTAACTTCCATCTAAACCACCATTCATAGACATTTCCATTCAGCTCAAAACACTTGGACAATGGCCACAGAGAAAATATCTTCTCAAATGCACCCTGTAAAAAACAAATATGGCAAAAATGTTAACGCTAACATAAGACCCATTTTTTAAATTGAATATCTTTTATTACTGCTTTACCCCTCTACCAGTTTAACTGGCCTGATCTTGGACAGGCTGTGCACCATGACAGAAATCCTGTTTAAGGTTTACTTGATGCTAATAGTCATCTATTAAACAGTTTTCTAAAAATAATGACATTTTCCTCTTGATTTTTCATTGACAACAGCCTCTGCACTCTCTTCCTTCTTAATACCCATTTTTCCTCATGGGCTTAAATGGAGACATGCACCAAAAGAACTGGAAACTTTACAGGAAAATCAGAGTATCTGTGTTTAAAACTAAAAGAAAAAGGGTTTTGTTGTTTTTTTTTTTTT